CCCTAATGAGGGCTGGGTCCACCTGTAAGCCCCTAACCTTAGCTCCTAAATTCCTGATGGCTGCACTAAATACATAAATATCATGAGGCCAACATCTATAAAACTTAACTCAGCAGGGAGTTACTGATCATGAGGCTGTCTGATGTTCCCACGTTTACGGAGCCACAGAAATACCTAAAGCCTCGTGAGTGTTGTTACAGGTGAACTCATGTTTAATAAGGTTCTTTTGCTACAAGCAGCAATCAAATCATTTTGAACATTAAATCTGCCCCCCAAGATTGTAGACTTTAACTGCCGATGAGAAATGATCACACCTAGATGATAAAGGATGAACCCACAGAAATAAGCCGGACAATGAAGACTTCCACTTGACTGACCATCCTCAGTGACTTTGAGTTTGAAGAAGACATTTAATGTGTCTCGGTCTAATTTCCTCATCTGTAAAGATAGAGGCTGAACAAGCTCATCTCTAAAGTTTAGTACAGATCGTGACTTCTATGATATATGGTTTATAATAAAGCTAGCTTTATGCCATGGCCAGATAAGGAAGAAATTATGTCTTATCACCAACCGAGTTCAGACTTACCCTGCACTAAACTTTGATACGCATGCTCATTCTGAATGTAATCTTAAATACATGTTTTACTAGGATCCAAAGCTACACTAATACAAATTTTAACCCTTCATTGTAAATTGTTCTTGTTTTTATCCATTTCATCCTAGGCAAAACAAAAACAAAAACAAACAAAAACGAATGGGGAGCAAGATGTCCTCTGAAAAAACTATTCACCCGGTTTAGGGAAACGCAGATTAAATGCATCATGATCTTATTTTTTATTTTTAAAATTTTACTTATTTATCTTAAGTTTTTTTACTTTACATTCATTCACTGCACACCATTACAACATACAAAATGTGATTTTCCATCCAGAATACAATGTATAGTGTATACATGTTCTGACAACAAATAATTTTCCATTTCTTGTTTCTTAAATATATATTTTCCCCCTATTTCTCACCCTCTGCCATTTCCCACCCTCCTCCCATATTTACTCTAGTACCTAGAGTTGCTTTCCATTCCTTTTTACTTTCCTACATTTTATTGATTCACAAAATATCTTAATTAATCTAAGTACTTTCAATAGCAAGTTCAGCTGATATATAGACATCTGTAAACAAAAGACTAACTTTAGGCATAAAACTCTGTGAGTAGAATGGATATACTATAAAGTAGCTCCTGGCTGAGGCTATATAGCTTTCTGTGGTCAATAAATAGGTATTTTGAAATATACTTTTAATTTCAAGAAAGGTAGTTTTAGCTTTAATAAATCAAAATAAAAAAATGTTAAGAGTACTTTGCTTAAGACTTAAAGCCAGGAAACAGGTTAGGATTCTGTTCAAACAGTAGGTATATGAACCTATTGGCAGCTCAAGAGAAGATAAAAATCTCCAAATCTGGAAAACAAAGTATAGAAGAAAATCAGTAATGGTTTAGTCAAAAGTCACAAATTTCTATTTCACCAATTCAGTTTCATGTATTTAATATATCTTCTGTTATGGTCTGATCTTTCCCTTCAAGTTCTGGAAGATAATATTCAACTTTGGATTTGTCCGTACCATTAAGTTGGCCATTTTCTTAGTTGTTTTTGTACTCTTATTTCTGTATATCTGTATTTAATTTTCCTGATATAGCACTCCCTTCAGAACTTCTTGGAGACCTGGTCTGGTGTCAGTAAATTCTTTCAGATTTTGTTTATCTAAGAATGTTCTTGTCTTTTCTTCCCATATGAAGGGTAATCTTTCTGAGTATAGTATTCTTGTTTGAAATTGTTTTTCACTCAAAACTTTGAATATATTTTCCCATTCTTTTTTTTTTTTTTTTCTTTTTTGGAGAGGTTTTTGCTATAGGTTGTGTGCGCTCCCCAGACAGAGAGAGAGATAGAGAGACAGAAAGCGAGAAATCACCTCCCCGGGGGGATGGCCATGCCGCAATCTCTTCTCCTCCATTCTCCTTTTGGGATCTTGGGCATGCATGGACACACACCCGGCGTGAGTTTAAGCCACTAGGTCCAGGACTCGAACTGCGGTTGACTACGTGGGAGTCCAGTGACATAGCCATTACGCTAACTGGTGGTCCCCCCGTTCTTTTCTTGCTTATATTGTTTTCAGTGAGAGGTCTGATAGCCTTATGGGATAGCCTATGAAAGTAACGTTTTATATATATATATATATACCTTCTTGTAGTGCTTACATTGTTTCCGATGAGAGGTCTGCTGTTAACCTGATAAGATATCCTTAGTAGGTAACTTGACATTTCTCTCTTGGCAATCTTAGTATCTTGTCTTTGTCTATGGTTTTGTTCAATCTAACTATAATGTGTCTTGGAGATCTTCTTGGATTGATTCTATTTGGGGTACTTTGTATTTCTTGGGTCTGGATCTTTGAATGTCTCTCTAGATTTGGGAAGTTTTCTTCCAGGGTTTTGTGGAATAGATGATCAATGCCCTTATTTGTCTCCACCAGCTGGGATACCAATTATCTGGATGTTAGGATGTTTAATGGTATCTAGTATTTCTTGTATATTATTCTCATTTTTGGGGGGTATTTACTCAGTCTTTACGGTGGAATTTTCTAGCCCAGTGATTCTGTCTTCTACATCTGAGATTCAATTTTCTGTATGATCTATCCTGCTTTTAATACTTTTAAGGGAGGTTTTGATTTCCTGTATTACAGTCTTCATCTCTACCAGTTCTATTTGATTCTTTTTTTATACATTTCTTCCTAATATCTTGAAATTCACTCTGAGTGTTCAGAGGAGTGCAGCAGGAGGTGATCTGCAAACTCACTGCCATTTCAGTTTTCTCCCTTTTTGTGGCAGATTCAGTAGGAATTGAAGAGTATTCTGACCCTAATAGATTCAGATGTTTGGCTTCAGTTTACTTAGACCTGTCTAGACACTCAGTGCACAGAAGATGAGCAGCAAAGTGGTAAAGGTGAAAGAAAAAGGGAAAGAAAACAGAGAAAGAGAAAAAAAATATTTTAAAAAAACTTACAAAAAATTTCAATTTTTTTTAAATCAAAAAATGAAAACTGCATGGCACGCTCATTCCAGCTCCAATGGTGGAGTCTTTGCCTCTCCTAGGTGGGAGGTGGGAAAGGTGACAATAAGCAAGAGAAAGGAGGATCTGAGAGCCAAGAAAATATTTTACCTTAAAATTTAAAAAAAAAATAAAAAAAGGAAAAGACAGAGAGAGATAGAGAATATTAGGTGGGTGGAGGGGCTACCACTTGTGGATGAGCTTTGGAGGGTGGAGTCTCAGCAGAAAATCTTCATTAGTGTAGTCCCTGAAAGCACCAGTTCTGGCTCCAATAGGAGGAGTCCACATCATGATTTTATTACCTCCTTTGTTCATCTAACTGAGAAATTAAAAAAATAGATATATCATTTCTTTGGTTATTCTACTTTCCTTATGACTTGAGACTTCATGTGTGGTGTTCTTTTACATTTTAATTTCTGCCTGTTGAGAATCTTACTGCGATGGGCCATGTTCCATCCTTTAATTTTACAGATATGGGAAGGAATGGTCATCTCTTTATATGAAAGCATGGAGCCCCTGAGGTCACTCCAGGAGAATAAAAAAGAATAAATACTAACATATCCCTAAAACTCCCCTCAAACCAGGGACCTCCAATCGGGAAGACTTCAGTAAATAACAATCCAGTCCTAGGCTCTGCCAGGACAAGTGCAATAAAAAACTGTAGCCATGAAGGAAAAACACAGACAGCTCACAAAAACTCTTACTTAGTGAAGAGTAAACAGAAAAGAGCCACACTGCCAAATGCAGCTCATACTCTACTAATGAGGTCACAGAGCATTAGGAGGGTTGAAAAGGCCCCTAAAAATCCTTCCTTCCACCACCCTGTCTCTGTTCTCGTTAGGAAGACGATGACCCCAGGATCAGAGTCTCTTCCCAGAGTTGGCATTTTACAGAAGCTCTTTAGGGGTGATCCGGCCTTTATACCATGTCTTGCCAAATGAACACTGGAGCTAGAAGATTCTGGTTTTGTTCCATATTATTTACTTTGGTTTTGTCCTCATGGGAATGCATTTTTAGGAAGAAAAAATGAAAATGACACTTTAGTCCTCATTGTGGAGAACTGAGAGCTGTTAAAAACTGTGGAAGAGAAGGCAACAGTGATACATGGGAGTTATTCCAGTGTGATGTGGGTTCGTCTCTTGTGTGGCTCTGATTTTATGAAAATGATATACAATTGAGTCTGGTTCCTCATTTATCTCTTCTTATTCTGCCTTCTGTGGCAACGGTGTATTAATTGCTAACTCATTTTCATTCAGTATTCATGAAATGCTTTTTCCCATTTCGGAAGTCTAGCTTCAACTCAATTTTATAGAAGAAATCCTAGTTCCCTGTCCCAGTAGTCCTATATCAAAACATCACATTATACCCCATAAATACATATATATATATATTTTTAAAGATGAGAGTCACACTGTGTAGAGTTCCTCTTGCCTCAGTCCCCTGAATAGCTGGGACTACAGGTGTGTACCCAACATGTGACACTTTGGGTGGGCTGGAATGGAACCTGGATCTCCTAAATGGCTTCAGCTTGCTAAGTAGCAGCATCTACAAGAGCATGTTACCATGACTGGCATACAATTCGTTGTCAATTAGAACTGAAAAAAGGGGGATCTAGCAGATAGTGTAGTGGTTAAGGTGCTGGATTCCCACATACCCAATCACAGTTTGAGTCTGTACCTGGAGGCTTCATAATTATGCTGTGCACATGTGTGTACATGCCCAAAATCCCAGGAAAAGAACGGGGGAGAAGGGACTGTGGCATGCCATCTCCCTTGGGTGGTGATTTTCACTTTCCCTGTCACTGTCTCTCTCTTTCTCTCTAGTGAGTGCACTTCCCCTATAGCAAAAACCTAGAAAAAAAAGATATTCATACTTTGGGGACTTGTACGTATATTTTACAGTGTGTCAAACAAGGCAATTTCTTCAATTAAATAGTGACAATCAGCACAAAGCAAAATGTAGCCTGTAACATATCCAGAATCCATGGAGAACTCTGGCTTCCTGAGACACAGTGCTGGCTTCTAGACCACTGAGCTCCTCCTGGATACTGATTATCAATTACATGCAGGTGCCACAGAGGAGTCAGTGACTTGGAGTCACCATACTGGCCCTGCCATGTATCTTCTGGGTATATTACCAAGAGATGCACCTCTCTATATTTTTGCTTCATTCTTTATAAAATTGCAACTCAATAATAAATATCGCCTTCAAAAGGCTATTGTGAAGTTACCTGCTGAATGGCAAAAGTTTGGAACAACTTTCTATTTCTCTCTTTATTTATCCTCTCAATCTTTTTGACCAATCTTTTTCCATAAAAGAACAGCAAAAAGAAAATAAAACATGGAACATTCCAGAATGGCGTCACTCACTCAGATGTAGCAAAATAAAGCTAAAATCCTCTAAAACCTAAAATATATACCCTCTTCACCCTAACCTTGAATCTTCATTTTAAAAAAGATTGGTAAGGAGGCAGCAGACTGTGTAATGGTTATGTCGCTGGACTCCCACGTAGTCAACCGCAGTTCGAGTTTCAGACCTGGTGGCTTACACCTCACACCAGGTGTATGTGCGTACTTGCCCAAGATCCTGAGAGGAGAATGGAGGAGAAGAGATTGTGGCATGGCCATCCCCCAGAGGGTGATTTCTTATTTTCTCTCTCTCTGTCTCTTCTGCAACCACACACACCCTAAAGCAAAAGAAAAAAAACTCTCTTAAAAAAAAAAAGGGGGTTAGTACTAGAATAGTATGTGCTCCTAGGAAGTACATGACTCACTTTCACACCAAATCTAGTCACGTACCACCTGACGTCTTTCAGTCACTGACAAACCGAATATATGGTGGGGGTCCCATAAGATTATAATAGGTTATACTCTAAAGCCTAGGTGTGTAGTATGCTAGACCATCTAGGTGTGTGTAAACACACTGCACAGTGTTTGAAACAATAAAGTCATTTAATGATAACACACTCTTCAGAATATTATTGTTGTCATTTAACAATCACATGACTGTAGTAATTTCTTTTTGATTGAATGATTAACTCACTTTCATCATGAGCCTCCTTTATTAGGATAAGAAAACTAAGGCACAATACAAACCAAGTCATTTTCCAAGACCTCTGTCTTTTCAGCAACCAAGCCGCTCTTGCCAGCTCACAGACATATGATTAACCTTGTGTTCCGATATTAATATGCAAATTTGTTGCACACCTGTACTCACGTGCACTTGCACACACACAAACACACAGAGACAGACATCTTTCCTACCTCATCAAATCCCATCTTGTCTGGATATTTAGGGACAACTGAGACAAACTGGGAGGGTTCCATTGGAGGACGGTCAACTGGAAGACACAAGAAACACATGGAGTGCTTTGTTAGGGAAAGGGTCAGAAAGCAGAGTTCCATCTGCACCTGATCACTGGGGCTAGAACACAGTCCGGTATCTAGGGCAGGGGCCAGTCTCAGAAGTTCTCCAGGACCCAACGGTGGCACAGAAACCCTCGTAGCTGGGGGACTAGATCGAAGATCACTTGTTTAATTCAGATTGCAATATTTACTCCATTTCCCTTAAGATGTATTTAAGTGTGTTTGGGAAGCAGTTTGGGGTTATGGTTAAGGAGGAGAGCTCCAGGGGGCCAGCAGGTGGCAAAGTGGTTAAGGTGCTGGACACTCGATATGGCTGACCACAGTTTAAGTCCTGGACCTGGTGGCTTGCTTTCTCACTTCCCCCTCTCTCTTTCTCTCTCTCTGGTGAAAATAAAATAAAAAAAATTAAAAAAAAAAGATTAAAAAAAAAAAAAGGAATGCTCCAGAGCCCAATGCTCTGAACCCAAATCTTAGTCTCTGGTAAGGGCTAGGAGAGTTAGGGGACCCCTCTAAGCCTGTTTCTTCATGTGTAGAATTGTGATATTGGGGTAATAAAAGTGTATTTCTTACTAGGTTAGAAAATTTAAATGAGGTCTGCATGCAAAGCACGCAACACATCAACATTGTAAATGCTCAGTAACTCTTAGCTATTACTTACTGTGCCCACGATGAAAGAGCTGAGAAATGGGCTAAATTATTTTGTGAAAAAAAAATTTTATACACTTAAAATTGTCAAGGACTGGCACTATTGTCACCTCATCCAGGCAAGTTTAGCTACAGGTGCACCTAACATCCTTTGTTTTAACACCATCTTACCTCTGGGGGCTGGCCCACATACTAGAACTTGGTTCAGGGCTAATGGGAAGATTCCAGGTGGGAGGGACAGACATTGCATCTATTTGATAATAGGTAATATTAAAATATTTATCAATTTAGTAATTGGTATATTTGATATTCAAAAAAAGGGTTTTTTTCTTTTCTTTTTTTTTTGGAGAGGTTTTTGCTATAGGGCACATGTTCACTGGAAAGACATAGAGACAGAAAGCAAGAAATCACACCTCAGTGGGGATGGCCACACCGCAATCCTTTCTCCTCCATTCTCCTCTCAGGATCTTGGGCACGCATGCACACACGCAGGGCATGAGTTTAAGCCACCATGTCCGGGACATGAACCGTGGTCCACTGGGAGTCCAGCGACATAGCCATTACGCTAACTGCTGATCCCTCAAAAAAAGTGAAAAAGCTTTCTCTTCAAACTGTGTGAGGGAGTGTTCAAAAGTTCATGAAAAACGTGTATTATAGAAAATACTGGGAATCAATTTCAAAGTTTTCTTTACAAACTATATGAGGGAGTGTTCAAAAGTTCATGAAAAATGTGTATTATAGAAAATACTGGGAATCAATTTCAAAATATTTTTACACTGAACTGGCGCTGTGCCTAGTGATCGCAGAAGCCAAGGAAGCCATATCCCACATGGCTGACTCTGTGGTTTGAATCCCAGCCCCAGTGGCTTGAAAAACATCAAGCATGTGTGTATGCATGCCCCAAATCTCAACAAGACGGAGAAATGGAGAAAGGTTTGTAGTGTGACCACATCCCATTAGCGGTGGGGGGTTATTTTCTCCATCTCCCTCTCTCTCTGTCTTTCTCTGGTGCGTACACACACTTTGGCAAATAAAAATAATTTTTTTACACCATAATAAGCTCATACTTTAATTGTATTTTCCCATGAACTTTCTGGAGTTCCCTCACATATGGTGAAGGCTGAAAGTAAGGTTGTTTGAAGAACTTGAGATAGTCTTGCAGATTTCTTGTATTGTACAAATTTAAAGTACTTGTTGATTTTCTTTAAAGAAATAATACAAAGAAAATTTAAAATAAGAGCTGGTAACTGAATTGTTTAAAGAATAATTGGTATAGCCATTACTACTGTCAGCAATGTTCGTTCTCTTCTCCTCCAGGCACATGAGAGAAATATACTTTCTTGCTTTGAAGTTAGTCATGGCCATCAGACTTTCTGGGGAAGGTTAAATTGCCTACTCAGCTCTTCAAAGCCTCCGCCCCATTCCATCCCTGTCCCACCACAATGGCCACAGTAGCAAGTGCCGATATGGAAAAGCCACAGATCAGAAGCAGCCCGAATTGTTGCACCAGCAGATGGAGAGCAGCTGTCCAGGAAAGACACCAGGACACAGCCTTTGAATGGTCAGAAATAAGCCACGTTATATTAAGCCAATGAGATTGTGGCACTATTTGATATCCCAGGATAACTTCACCCATCCTGATGAGATACTTTCTAATTTACCCTTCACTAGGATATTAAAGAGCAACCATAGCATCCAGTTTCACTTATGATCCAATGATAGGCACTTCTGAAAGGTAGTGAGATGGATTTCCTAAGCCAAACACAGAAGTTGGTCTCACTACCCAGACCTGATTCTTACTGTCATACTTCTGAAGTACACAACTGGTTTCTAATCATGACCCAGAACATTTGGTCTTTCTGCTTGATTCCATTAATTATTAGTTTCTTTTAAAATCAACATGGAGGAAGCATCATGAATTAGGGTTTTTAAAAGGAAAAACCTTAATGGTCAAATTCATTTCTGCTCATAGTACTGTCCAAGGAGCGGTCTATTTCTCCCTCCTTGGGCCTTGGACACGGTCCCCTTTCTAGGTGGTTTGGTCTGTTTGTTGCTCATGTGGCCTGTGTAGCTTTAATGGTTCAGCCAAAGAGACAGTTATTAAATACTTTGCTTCTGCTAAACATGGATAGTCGTTGCATTCACAAGACAAATGTCCTATAAAAGCTACAAGTAACTGGCTCCTGAAAGTCACCATTGAACAGAAATAATCAGAAAACTATGCCTCGATTTTGCCACTGAAGACAGAGCCAAGCCATGGAGGAAAACAGGAAGTGACACAATGAGTCAGACCTAACAGACTTACTATGGGGGAGGGGGTATATTTTTGCAGATGTTGGATTTAGAGGTTGGAAATATCCTAGCTTCCATTTGTGGTCATTCTGACTCCAACATATTCATAACGTTTCCAGTCTCTCATTGAATCCCTTGTTGTATATAGTCCCTCTCTGTATCATCACTTAAGACAATGGGCCCCAAGCCAGCAGGTGACACGGTGGTTTAGATACTGGATCCTACATAGCTGACTCCATGGCTAGAGTCCTGGACCCACTGACTTGAAAAATAGGCTAGATATATGTGCGCCCCAAATCTCAAAAGGTAAATGGAGAAGAAGAGATTGCAAGGTGTTCATCTCCCCCCACCCCCCACCAGAGCAGAGGCGGGTGATTTTTCACTTTCCCTCTCTGTGTGTGTGTCTCTCTGGAGAGTGCACACACCCTATAGCAAAACAAAACAAAACAAAACAAAACAAAACAAACAAACAAGCAAAAAGACAATGGGCTCCATTGGCTCTTGGATAGTTTCAATATCTAAAATACTAATTAGAACTATTGTTATAGAGCTCTTATTATTGGTCTCAGTAATATTACTAAGTTGCACTCTTGATATGTATCATCAGTTGTTTAATCTGCACATATACCAGGGGACAGGTATGAGTGTCTCTATTTTTACAGATAAGGAAACAAAGCTTAAATAACTTGCCCAAGGTTGCAGAGTTGATAGTGCTGGTGTTTGAACCTACCTAGGTCTGACTCTCACATCTGACCTCTTCGCCCCTACTCTATACTATCCCCAAAGCTGGATGTTGGCAGCCACTGGCATTGAGAACTGGGCTGGGTTCACAGAAGCTCATTAAGACCTGTCATGTCTGGAAAACTACTTGAGAGATTGCACTTGGACCAAATCCTAACACTTATTCTCTCTAGTTTCTCTGGAACTTCTTCCATTGCTGCAGCCACCTCCCTCGTTCGGGTTCTCAGCCACCGTGCCTGGGCTGTTGTGATATTTTCCAAACACTCTTGGTCTTGCCTGTTCTAACTCATCATTCATCTTGACACTGTGGTCAAGATAACCTTCAAGCACAACTCTGTTCTCTGAACATTCACACTTTATACTTAAGTGCTTTAGAATTTAAATGCTTTCATTGTCACTACACAATTTTATCTTCACTTTTTGTTGTTATTGTCGTGTGAGTTTACAAGTATGGCAATAAATACCACCTTTGTCCTCTAGGGCCTTGAACAC